TGAGAGCAAATTGAGAGAAAAGTAGTTTGTAAAATTAATACTATACTTTATGGCACAAAATCAAGGCGAATCAATTCCTTATAATACATCATCCAATCTTACCCAACTAGACAAGGGAAAATTAATTGAAGGATATATTTTCATTGATACCAACATTAGCAATAATAGGAAGAATAAAAAAGAGCAACAATAATATAAGTGAGGGTTTAAAGCAGAGATTGATGTTCCGTCAACAAATAATAAAAGGAATAAAAGGGAAAATGGAGGTTATTTATGACTTGTTGAGAAAAGTACTAGATTTTATATATAGCTTTTTGAGTTTGAATTAAACAATATTTGTAAAGCCTTATCTGTTCTCTAAAATCTTCAGCAGTAAGAAAAAGTAGCATTAACTCCCATAAAGCATATATCGACTTTGAATCAACGGCAGATTCCCACATTATTGTATTCTTGGAAGATTTAACAATTTTGTAGGGACTCCACCTGCAACACTCTCTCTCTCTCTCTCTCTCTCTCTCTCTCTCTCTCTCTCGCGCGCACACGCAGAGTCTCAAGTGGATAATAATCAAAATTATGGAGGAAATGGAGCCCAGAGATCTAGCCCCATTTCAAACGAAAGCCGCCCCCATCATAAAGCTGTTCAATCATTCGTAAACTTTGTTTTCCAAGTGCTCTTATATTAGACCACATTACACACACATATATAAATATATATATATGTATATAAATAGAGCATTGCCACGACCCATCCAACATAACATATTAAAAAAAGATATAATTAAATGATAGCCATTAAATGTAACATTTATAGGTGGAGGAAATGGAGCCCAGAGATCTAGCCCCATTTCAAACGAAAGCCGCCCCCATCATAAAGCTGTTCAATCATTCGTAAACTTTGTTTTCCTAGTGCTCTTATATTAGACCACATTACACACACATATATAAATATATATATATATATGTATATAAATAGAGCATTGCCACGACCCATCCAACATAACATATTAAAAAAAAGATATAATTAAATGATAGCCATTAAATGTAACATTTATAGGCAAACATTGATCAAATTACACCTCTGTGGTTCAATTTTATGTTAATTGACTATTATGTTTCATTTTTCACTCATAAATGTTACGTTGAATGAACCGTTCACAGGATGAAAATTGACTATTATGTTTCATTTTTCACTTATAAATGTAACGTTGAATGAACCGTCCACAGGATGGAACATAGTAATATGTAAAAGTAAGAGGTGTATTATGCTATTTAATTTATGAAATAATTATGTCCGAAAGATGTAATAACAAGAATTTATTTAACTCATATCAGTATTCTACCTTTATACATCATTGTTATATAAAACAAATATCATGTTATACACCTTATTTTCATTTGTTATAGTGTAGGAATAATATATATGCCTATATATAAAGGCTCTAATACTTTTCTCATCATTTTCTTATTCAAATAGTGCTTGTAGTTGTTAACAAAAATTATTAAGAAGATTCATCCAAGCTTTCCACTAACTTGCCCTAGTAAAGTGGAGCCGATTTTGCTAAAGAGATTTCTTAATCAGAGAACAAACTTAGTAGTTAGTAATGGACTATTCCCTCTCAACTTTACGAGTTTGGCAATTTAGTCTCTTAATTTTTTTACTTGGTAATTTACCTCTTAAACTTTAAAATTTGTTACAATGTTGGTTAAAGTGAAAACGAATTTAAAAATTTGGACAATATCTTCCACTTGAGTATTTAATAAGGGTAATTAATATCTTTTTGCATCAAATTAATCTTCATATATGCATCACTCACGAGCGATTTTTTTTTTTTAAATTGGGAGTTAACTGTTTTGGGAGAAAATGTGGGGGTCCCTTAATTTTAAATTTTTTTTATCTATGACGTATATAAAGGATTCAATTTGATACAAAAAGATCATAATTATCCTTATTAAACACTCACGTGGAAGATACCGTCTAAATTTTTAATTTCATTTTCAATTTAACCAACATTGCAACAAATTTTAAAGTTTAAGGAGTGAATTGCTAAAAAAGAAGTTAAGGGATCAATTTACTAAACTCATGAAGTTAAAGCCTTAGTAATGTGATTTTTTGAGCCCACTATAAAAGTAAAAGGGTAATCTTGACAAATACCTTTTAAAAGTGCATAGGTCATGATTTTTATCTTTTATTCTTGATTCATAACCTTTTTAGTTAAATAATTATACTAACAAAATGGTATTTATTAAAAATAAAGACTAAAGATCCAAATTCATACGCTCTCAAAGTAAATTCTCCCTTTTTTAAAAGTTTTTTTAAAAGGGTTTTTCTGGACCGTCGATAAAGAGGTTGTTGGGGCCTGTGGGTCAGTTCTATAATTGGAGGAGAGGGACTAAGCCTAGTAACACCAAGACTTGGACATTGCCGAATGGCATTTAGTCCAAAAGTTAAATAAAGACATGAGTAAGAATTGTTATTATCAAGGGACGGAAGAGTAACTGAATGCCACTTTGTTAAAGGAGAAAGTTTGACAAATATCTAAACACACTACAAATAAAATAAAAATAAAAACTTTGCCAAACATTTAAAGGCTTTCACAGAAGAGAAATTAGCCGTTACGTGGCATTTCCTTAGTAAGTAAGAAATTGAGACAAAAATTCTAGAAGCAGAACGATAGTGATACGCTTCTGTTTAGGTTTGCCACTCGGACATCAAGTATGTAGTTTAGTATTTTGGGGTTTAGGATTTAGGATAATATTCAACCTATTATATAAAATATTCTGAAAAATTATGAACTTGTACAATAATGTTTAGGGTAAGGATGGCAATTCGTGTTAGTGGGTCGTATTCATGTCAACCCGTTTATTAATCGTATCAGAAAACATTAACTCAAACATGATTTTTTTATTAAACGTGTCAAAAATGTCAACTCAAACACGACCCATTTATTAATCGTGTTAATTGTGTCAACCTGTATAACTCGTTTAAATTAATATGTTAAATAAATAACTAATATAATAATGACTTATTTAACACGGTCAAGACATGTTTAACGTGTTTATTGGTCAATTTATCCTTTTCTTTAAGAAAATTAAATGAATTTTACCTACAAATATTAAAATTCACATTATTTATATTTAATATGTCATATAAACTTTCATTTTATATCACATATCATTAGATTGCAGATAACACATATAGTTAATCGTATCAATTTTGTTTGATTGGTGGATTCGTACCCTGATTCGAATCATGGTTCATGATTCGCTACAGTATTTTTTCTCACAAAAAACACACGTAAATCGAGAATGGTTCTGAATCATGATTCTGAATCCATGAACCAAATGTCTCTGAGTGTTAGAAGATCAACCCTAACCCAACTCATTTATTAATCGTATTAATAATGTCAATCTGATTATTATCTAAACCCATTTATAGTAAACCCAAACCCGCTAAGTTTGTGCGGGTTTCGAGTTGTGTTGTCATGTCGCTATCCGGATTGTGAGTCATAATTTAGGAGATGTTTTATTAAAGCAAGTGTTATTTAAATCAACCAGTAAAAATTATTTTTTAACTGTTAGATTAGTTTTTCTTTTTTTGCTAATCCTGTTGAATTAGTTTTTCAATAACAGACAGGTTTGCATCGCACGTTCTATATTTTAATATAAACACTCATAAACCTAATTGTTAAAAACTAATCTAACAATCAAAATAGTAGTTCTTACCAATAAAATAATATAATAGTTCATACCGTAGAATTATCCATATTTAATGGTTCAAAAACAACCCCTCTCAATAAAGTATTTTTCTAATTACCTAAGACATACTTTATGAAACTGAATTTTGAATAACGAACTTTTAAAAACCTTGATTGTGGATAAGGCCTAAGGGTCTCGATAATTAATGATTTTTTGCTCATCAGCTGAGTAATAATTTACATGTGAAGAGTTATACACCGTATTCTTTTTTTTTTTAACCATACATTTTATACCATGTTTTATATATTAGACAAAACAATAATTAAAATAATTGAAACACTAAAAAGAAAATAATAAAAAAACAAGAAAAAGAAACCATTTCATATACATACATACACATATACGTAAAAAACGTAATCATTAAAAACTCGTCCATATATATACTAATGTGGCTTTACTATCTTTACATACTTTGGGGGCGTTTGGTTTGTGGGAATCAATAGGAATCATATTCCCAGAAAAGTGATGGAGGGTAATATGATTCTTAGAAATAATACATTACTGTGTTTGGTTCCATACATGAATCTTTTTCAAATTCTCAGGAATATTACATTACTGTGTTTGGTTGTTCGCATAGAAGAAGATCAGTAAATATAATAATAATAAAATAATATTAATAATAATAATAATAGTAAATATAATAATAAAAAATATAATAATAATAATAATAATATTATTATTATTATTATTATTATTATTATTATAAGATTCCCATGATTTTGAGATTTCTGGGAATTTGAAGTATTCAGATTACCTTAAAATAAGGGAAAGTGAATCCCATGGTAATCACTTTCTTGGGAATCTAAATATTATAGTTTTTGTACCAAACATTATAATATTGCAGATTCTCATTCTCATCTTTAAAATTACTGAATACCAAACGCTCCCTTTGTTATCAGTATTGAACATGATGGACTGTGGCCGGAACATAGCTCTCAAAGCATAACAGAAACTGAAATAATACCCAAGAAAAACCTCCCACTTGCAATCTTAAAATAAAGTGAATACATGGAATATAATTAAAAGGAAAAAGTCCTCAAAAAAATTAAAGGAAAAGCTCAATATTCCAGACTCTATTCCCTCCCTTTCGCTTTTAATTTTTCTTTTTTGCTAATATACCCTTCCAGCAATTCAGTGTCTGTACCGTGTAAACAAAATCTAGCAAAAGAAGGGTCTAAAAAAAATCTCCAAGGCCTATAAAAACACATACAAATTACAAAGGACTTGAACAACAATAACATAAACAAACATTCACTCTTCAATAGCCCAAAAAAAAAAAAAAAAGAAGCTAAAATAGCTCACTCTGTTTCATCTATTTTCTCTCTTGATTTCCCATGCTTCTAATCACAAAAATCTTCATAAAACCTACTATTTTCATAGTAGCTTCACTTTTCTCTCCTTTACGAGAAATGGTCGCTGCTAAAAACTCAAACACAACCTTCTTCGACTGAGAACCAGAAAGATTCTCAAAACCAAACAAAAATATTTTCTTTTTTTTTTCTCACCAAAAATGGATTCCATCAACTTCTACAACATCAAGGCCGAGAAGGCGAACGCGATTCTGCGGTACAATCAGCTCCGAAAGATCGCGAACTTGTTCCGATTCGTCGAAGTTCTCGTCATTCTGATCTTGGTATCAAAGCTCTCTCTTCACGTCCCACACGCAGTGAAGAACTCCGGCGGTTACGTCAAGGACATGACACTGGTCCTCTTTAGTCCTCGCTTCGTTTTTGTTCTCGGGAACGTGATTGTCATCACTCTGTTCGCCAAGGCCGGGCAGTTTTCTTCTCGAGATTCTGGGAAAAAGTTCTCGGAAAACGATCTCTACGACGAGTTCGTGAAGAGTAGCAAGAAAAACCGGAGAGTTTTTGTCGATAACCGGGCGGCGAAAAAGCATAGCGTTCCGGACAACACTCGCGTTGTTGTCGCCGAGAAGAGTAAGAATCAAATTGTGGAGATTAAAAGGAGTAATTCGGAGATTATGGAACGACCCAAGAAGCCGAAAAGTGTGTTGAAGCGATCGGAGACGGAGAAATTCGGTGAGATCAAATCGGAAAAATGTTTGTATCCCGAGGATTTGATGAGCAGTGAAGAGTTTCGTCTAAAAGTTGAAGCTTTCATAGCAAGGCAACAGAGGTTCAGAATGGAAGAAGTCTACTCTGGTGATGATCTAGAGTGAGGGGTAGGATTGAGAAAATATGTTCAAATATCACACTTTTCTTGTTCTCCAGTGTTAATATATGAGCTTTTATTTGTACATTTCTACGTCAAAATTGTGACGAAAATTTTTCCTTTAGTTGTTCTCTTCTTTTGCGTTGAACATCTAGAATTGGGTGTATATATATATATATATATATATATATATATATATTTGCTGAGGGTTTGGGAACATTTATATGCATTTCTGAACATGGTATAATATTTGAGTTGTATTAGAATTCAGTATTAGAGCTTATTTGGGTGCATTTTTATTTTTAGTACTCAAGTTATGTTAGAATCGAATATTAGAGGTTATTAATTTGGGCGTATTTGTATAATAGTTAGGAACTCTTTACTGATGAGCAGATTTTTTTAACTTTAGATCTTAATCAAATAATAACAAAATTTGACGAAAATTTTTCGATCTCTATAATAATTGTGTTCATACTTTACCATAAAATTATCATAATAATTATTGTTATTTATTTGTTTCAGAAACGAAATAAGTAGAGATTGTTTAGAGATTTCTATATTTATTTTATTTTTAAGAACATAAAATAAAATATAAAATACATATGATTTTTTGTAGATCAAATAAAATATCATGAAATTTTTACAATTTTAAATATTTTATATTCGTAAAGTTGGTTGTTTTCCTTTTTTTCTCTTTTTTCCTTTTACTTTACAGTAGAAATTTCTCGACGTGCAAGACCAACAATTGTTTTTGGATTTAAGACTTCTTTAGAAGAAGTAGGTAATAAGCTTTTAGTCATGTATTTGGAATCGGTTCTATACAAGACAAAAATATGCCTATTTTAATTGGCCCACATGTCTAAACGACATTATTATTGTCAATCAGATTCTAAGAACGACAGTAAAAGAAAACTTTTGAGTTAATGCATATGTTGAAGAATAATAAAATTGTAGATAAGAGAATTTCCAGATGGGCTACCATTTTCAGGTATGGGTGAAACGATGGATGAATTTGTAGGGGGGAATGGATTCTGAATTCTGTCCAAACAAAATTTTATGCTTTGATTCCAACTTTCCAGATTGAATTGTAATTCAACCAATCCAACACACATTCTGCACATTATTGCAGTTCTCCATTTAGATAAGCATCTTTATCTTTACTCAAGAATACAGTCCATAATGGGAGAAATGGTTGATATATGAAAAAAAAATCAATAAACATGTTGAGGTGGTCTCCACTACTTACGTAGCACAATTATTCGTCACTTTCACTCATAATATAATTCAAAATTAATAAATGTCAAGTTAATTTCATGTCAATATGTTATCAATTTGGATCGAATTCTAGTACTGTTGTCGTATGGAACCCATATTGTCCCCCTCCTTTTTTTTTTTTTTTTTTTTTCATGAGCACGAGAATTATATATACTCTATCCTCTAACTCCCTCAATGAATATATAAATGAATCATCTAGCATCCGTGGAATTCATTAAAAGAAAAAAAAAAAATTCTAGCATCCCTGGATAATGGCCAGCGTGCAAGTTTTGCCACGTTGAATTGTTGGTGGAAAAAATGGCGTCTGTGGATACTCTTCGGAGAGGAGTGGAATTTGGAAACGGGACTGGAGTGGGCTAAAGTTGAGGCATTGGTCTGGGCCTTTCAAATCAAGTATTTGCACCCATCTCAAACTTAGGATTCGACTCACATGTCTCCTCTCATTTTAATTGTTCATTTTCATGTCTCCCAATAATATCACGTTTGAACCTATTAAAATATTTTAACTCACACAATGCGCTCGCTATTTTAATTGATATGTCATCATATTATTGCAAGGTTATAAAAATGACAACAATGAAAGTACGCAGGAGTTGAAATTCTCCAAACTTTTAAGCCATGTTCATTTCACTGATTCGAGTTTAAAATTCGAGTGTTATTACAGTAAAAAATTCTTAAAAACAGTCACATCTAACTTTTTTATAAAAAACTCTCACATAAAATCACATCTCAACTCGAATTAGCGAACTAAACGGACCCTTAGAGTTTGAGAAATACCACTTCTGTGTGGCTCATACATAGATATACCATTTTTACGTAAGTGGATATACCATTTTTTCCTACCATGAATTCATTACCCAATCTACCACTGAGCATTGAGATTCGAATCTCTCTGCCCTACTTGACGTTGTCGATTCTCCCCCTCCGCGCCTCCTCATGTCCACGTCACCGCCGCGGATTTCACTAGCAACAAGGCATTGTGACCAAGCACAACCGTGCGAGGGTGATTTGTCATAGCCAAATTTGGAAAGCTGGTCTTGAGCGAAGTTGGTTTTGTCATGTTTCTTTTTGTTTTCCATATCCCAACGGACATATCCCAGGAGTTAAGCATCAAAATTAATACCAGGAGGGAAATGAGCAATGAATTAAATTGTGGGAGATGCTCCAGATCAAAATTAGGACCTTTGGATCAATTTCTTCAGACAGATCACCGAGAAATAAGCTTTGGCTTACTTCCGAATTTATGCTGTTGTCTCCTTCAAAATCCTATATAAAGGGCCCTGCACTCCTCATTTGAATACACTTCTCTCTCGTGGTTGCTCTCTAGCGTTCTTAGGTTCAGTATGATAGAGTTTAGAGGCACTTTGGTTCGCTGTCAAAGTAGTTTTGCGGTGTCATCTAATATTCATCCGCCGCCGTTGTATCCTGAGAGACTGAGCCAGACAACCTTGTGCACTAGATGAATCAGTTTTAAGGACACTGTGTGAACACAAACCTCGGTGTTTCTACGATTTCGATTCCAGAATTTCAACATTGTTTTTATATTTTTCCGTCCTATGCTTTGTTCATATAATTGTTATAATCAATCCATATTTCTTTAAGGCCAGTTTACTTGTTTCTGTTTGCCATTTTGTCATATTTAACTTTCTCACAGTTACATTCGGGTCTTGGGGTGATTTAACGGAGCTAAATAATTTGAGAGAGCCCATATAATAATTGTGGAGAAAGGCATATGCTATTCGTCTTTAAAAGTGAGAAGATTTTCAAAAAAAAAAAAAAAGGGTTTTAAGTTGCATAAATAGTTAAGTGTTAATTATGATTAATAGTGACATTTAGTGCCTTTTTTTTATTGACGATCTTATTTTTGCAGTAGGAGATATCAATCAAAGTTTCAAAAATCAGAGATCACGCAATCATTTTCTTTTGGATGGATTTTCCTATAAGGTTTCACCATTTAAGTCTTAAGGCTCGTTTAGTAAGGGGCTCAAATTAAGGTAGTTTGAAACTTTTGAGTTTGAAAGAAGTTTTGTGGGGTTTAAACTTGTGGTTTGAACATTTATTTAGATGTGTGTAAAAAAATAGGTTGGAACCATATGGGTTCAAATGGGCAAAACTCAAAGGGAGCCAGGTTCTCATTTTTCAGGTTGAGGTGGTCTCAATCCAAATATGTTTTTTAGAAGAGTAATTTTATTTGCACCCTTGAAATTTATAGATACCACAATAATTAATATTGTTTATAAAGATTTAAAAAATCTATCCTTTTATACATATTATTTTCATAATACCTAATTTAACCCTTTCATACCCAATTCTCATTAATTTAATCTTAATTTAGTTTATAAAATTAAATAATCTGTTCTCAAATTCACAAAATACATAAAATGAATTCAAAAAATGTTCAAACAAAAGTTACACAAATTTAACGCAAGCAAAAACTAAATTTACAAACAAGAACAACGAATCAAAGTGGGAGCGGAGCATATGAATTGCATATTTGCATTACAGGACAAACTATCAGTCATGCTATTTTCGTTGAACATTGCACAAATCTGGTAACAAACACTCATTTATGTAATATATATATAATTGAAACCTCCATAAAAATTTTGAAAGAGTTTGACGGAGAAAAATTTTAGGACGTTCATGAAATCAAAATAGCGTTAATCAAAGACATGGGTGTATGTATTTTTTTTTTTTTGGAAAGAGTAATATTCATAATATATATTTATAATTAATATGGGTATCTTAATGTGTTTTAATGTAATTTTAGTACAAGATAAAATTATAATAAATATAAATTATTATTAAGTGGGGACATTAATGAATTTGATGAGTGTAAATATAATTTCCCTTTGTAAAAACCCAAACGAAAGTTCTATTGAGCCCGTGAGTTTTATTTTAAACCGCAGATTTCCCTAACAAGGCTTTGATGTGGCCTCTTTATGCCTATGTTGAGTCAAAGAGTAGATAGTCCATCTCCAAAATTTTACTTCTATTTTATGTTAAAAAACTTTTAGATTTTTGTTTTTTATTTTTATTCTCTTTAAGGGCATTCAAGTCTTTTTATAGTCAAAATTAATTGTTGACCGGTAGAGAGTATACATTTATTTAATAAATTTAATCTATACCTAAAATAGAGAGCATAAAAATGTAAACATCCCCAAATTAAATCTAGTAAACTATTAGAAACGTGTTAGAATTAGGTACACTCATTCGTGCAAATATATTTTGGTGTAGGAGGCTATGGCTGTGTTTAAAATTGATTCTATTTTTATTTTTCAAGTTTTTTGAGAAAAAAAAATGAAAACGTTTTCAATAAAGACAAACGGCGTTTGGAGCAATAAAGACAAAAAATGAAAATGAAAACAATTTTTTAGTTTAGTGTAAAATAAGAGAAAAATGAAAAATGACTTTTAGTCGTTTTTTATTTTTTGTTTTCGTTTTCTCCTCTCTCGAGAAGAGAGAGAAAGATAGACATTAGTGGGTTTTTTACACTGAAACTAATCTCTTGATAAAACTATCAAATGTATTTTTAAAAATAATTTATGTCTGAGATTGAAAATATTTTTATTTTTATTTTTATATAAAAAATAAAATTATTTTAAAATAAATTATAAACGCGCCCTATGTGTCATCTATTCTAGCTATTTGACTCATGTACTGTACAGCTTGGTTGTACATTTTGGCTTCTAGTTCTCTCTAGCACCGGCTTCGTTATTGGTGTGTAGCTTATTTGGAGGCCGCCAATTTATTGAAGGCTTTACTGTATGGACTTTGTGTTTTCACTCTTCTTTCTGTTTTTTTTTTTTGATGAAAAAAAAAAAGAAAGCTTGTCTTGCACGTTAGTTTGGCACACTTCGTCAAGGTTATCCATAGTATAGGTAATATAATAATCAGAAAAAAGAAAGCTTCAGATAGCTCCATTGAAGCAATTAGCAATAATAGAGTTATCATTCAAAAAATATATATATTAATAGTAAAAAAATCATGAAGGAAAAGAAAGTTGCAGATAACATCTTATCATGACAATAAACGATTAGCAAAAAAAAAAAAGTCAAAATACATAGTGAAATCTTTTCATGACGATGTTTTCTGCAAGCCTTTTCTACTTTGTTCCGCTTCGTTTTTTTTTTTTTTTTTTTTTTTCCTTAAATAACTCTGTTATTGCTCATTCTCATCTTTTTTCTTTTGCTTCCTGAAAGGCAGTTTCATTATTTATCTTTTTTTTTTTTTTTTTTTTTTTTTTTTTTTTTTTTTGCTTAAGTTTTCGACAATCTTTGGATGATGAGCACTTCATGATTGTATCGTATTGCATGTTGTGGATGATAAATCATGACGAATCTCTACGAAACCTCTTTTTTTTTTTTTTTCCGACTATATTCAAACTCTTGGGTTTGAACCAACTTTTGGGTGCAAACTCTTGTTTAGTTGCATAACATTTTGAACTTCAGTGAACTCAATTTTACCCCTCCTGCCCTTTTAATATCCTAAGATTCAAACTCATTTTATTATTCAAAACTCAACCTAAAGATTCTCACTAACCATTTTAACTCATATTTTTTAAAAGCTCGTAATTCTAATAATGTAATTAACATTGGTTTAAAATCTTACACTATTAAACGTCAGTTTAAATAAAAAAAAAATCTACACATAAGTTCAAACTCACATATTCAAACCAGCAAAGTAAAAGGAGCTGCTGAGCAAATACTTTTCACTTGCTTCAAGGTCTGAAACTTTCCAATTTACAACTACTTGCATTCAGGTCGTGTGCGGAAAGGTGTCGACTCTAATTAGAGAAGGTTTGAACACTTCAACCCTCACCTTAAGTAACAAAAGACATTTGATATGCATGAACTCATTACTCGGGATGGTAGAAACCACTTTATGTAATGTGTCAGTGTATTTTGATTGATAACCAAATTTTATTGTATCTTAATTTCAATATCTACACATTTTAATTGATATGCCCACAACCTCTAATGGTAAAGCCTCAAGGACTAGTAGCGAATGTGCAGAGTTTTTATTTTTTATTTTAATCAGTAAAAGAAGAGAAGTAAAAGCTCTGACTTTTCATTAAATGTTTGAAATAAAAGAGCTTAATTAGTGAAAATAATTTTTAAATTTTCTAATAAGCAATAAAAATGTTGCAATGACATTTATAATGCCTTAATAAAACTATAGTACAAGTTTTAAAGTCTATTCATAAGTATTTTTCTTCAAAGTCTCATTTTGTAATTTTAACTAGAAGCTCTTTTGAAAAATCAAAACACTTTTAACATATCACTAAACACTTTTAAAAGTAACTTTTAGAGTAAAAAACCAAAAATAGCTTTTAAGAAGCTCTCCCAAACAAACCCATCATTGTTGTTCAAGTACATATTTATCTGAGCAAATTGCTACATACAAAAAAGTATCAAGCGGGAGGAGATCACTTATAAGAAAATTGGATATCCCGGACCCTATTCTACTAAAGGGTTTAAAACGTTCAAATTTAAAATGTAATTGAACATTCGGGTGGCAAAGTTGAAACTTTTTTCCTAAAAAAAAGAAAAGAAAAACCTAGGCAATGTAAGCCTTAAAAGTTTGGAAATTAGACTAGCCAATCCTCGTAAAATGGTAGCAACAATACAATGCTTCTCATGTTAATTAGGACGAAGTCTTAAGGGTGTGTTTGGTTTGGTGAAAATGAATGGAATAGAATGAAATGAAATTCTAGGTTGATGTTTGGTAGAATTTATAAAAAATGAATGATCATTCAAAAGAAATGGTCATTCACCTATTTTGGGTGAATCATCATTCCTTCCTTATATGAGAAGAATGACCGTTCTAAGTTCTTTTGTTATTTTTTTTCCATAATTACCCTTCAATATTATAATATAATATATAATAAAAAATATTATAATATAATATAGTTATAATAATTAATTTATAATATAGTTATAAATTATATTATTATATTATATTACATTTTATATATTATAATATTATAATTATATTAACAATTTTAATAATATTGTTATATTATATATCATAATTATATAATAATAATTTTATTATATTATATTACATTTTATATATTATAATATTATAATTATATTAACAATTTTAATAATATTGTTATATTATATATCATAATTATATAATAATAATTTTATTATATTATATTACATTTTATATATTATAATATTATAATTATATTAACAATTTTAATAATATTGTTATATTATATATCATAATTATATAATAATAATTTTATTATATTATATTACATTTTATATATTATAATATTATAATTATATTAACAATTTTAATAATATTGTTATATTATATATCATAATTATATAATAATAATTTTATTATATTATATTACATTTTATATATTATAATATTATAATTATATTAACAATTTTAATAATATTGTTATATTATATATCATAATTATATAATAATAATTTTATTATATTATATTACATTTTATATATTATATTGATAGATAAAATATTAGTGTTATACATAACATAAGGGTAAGTTTGTCAACATGAAAATATTCATATTCCATTCCAGAGAATTCTTAAAATTACAACCAAACAAATGAATCAATTTTCTTTTTCATTCCATTCTCATTCTCATTCCCATTACCATTCCACCACTGCAACCAAACGCACCCTAAATGTCTTCTTGCTAAAAAAGCATATTGAACAAAATAAAAAGAGAAATGTTAAGGCCCCGTTCATTTCGTTGATTCGAGTTTAGAATTCAAGTTTTGTTACAGTAAAAAGCTCTCACAAACAATCACATCTAACTTTTTTGCTACAGTAAAAAACTCTCACATAAAATCACATCTCAACTCGAATTAAAAACTCGAATCAGCGAACTAAACAGGCCCTAAGATTACTCATTTTATCTCTCTTAAAAATGTTAAGATTACTCATTTTATCATTCTCTCTCTCACTCTTTACATTCTTATCTTTCCACATGTCATTTCACTTAACTTTAATAATAAAGCATATTAATAGACCATTCTTTTACATGTGCCACTCTTTATTATTATAAAGTTGATATTCTGTTATTCTTCACTTTCGTGAGTGTTTTCTCTTTTTTCCTCTGTTACTTCCTTTTCGTTACCATCGGATACAGTACAGCATATTACCCTTGCTATATTTTGTATACAATTTATTCGCCAATGTTTCATATATGTATATATATAATTCCTTTTATAACATTTTTTTTTTTTTCAAAAAAAAAAATCTTATATAGGATTTTAAGTTACAAATGATACATATACAATATTTCAAACAAAGGCACTTTAATTATTCAAACGTTAATTAGAACATAGTCTGTTATCCTTTTTTTAGTTCTCTTCTATATGCTGTTTCTTTCTTACAGTTGTTTTCTTTTTTTTTTTTTTCCCCGGTGAATTCTTTACAGTAGTTGAAAAAGATGAAAACTCAAAAGTCTTCAATGGTATTTCGTAAAAAGTGATTAAAACTATCCTTTCAACATTTTCTCTTTAACCCGTGAAAATAAAGAGTATCATAGAGGTAGTTAAAAGTAAAAAATAGTCTATTATAATGCTTCATTTCAATGAAAAAGTTAGATGACATGAAATGTGAGAAAAAGAATGATAAAGTGATTAACCATAATATTTCTCAATTAGTAATCAAGTGTTTTACTTTTTTATTTCTTTTTCTGGTTTTTGCGTCGATAAGACACGGATTCGGCTTACGTATCTTTTCGTTTATGTTCCCTTTTGTATCCACCAATTACATATGCTACAACAGTGAAAATATTTTAACTTATACAGAACAGGATTTTAATTGATGTAGTTTTATATTTTAATTGGCATAACTTTTTAATTGATAAAACGTGATACAATTGAAAGACCTACATGATGAAACGAGCTTTCAGTAATCTTCATTCACATCTTACTATAAATAACCCAGCTCCAACACAGTTCTATTAGCATCCATCAAAATTTCATATTCTAAAGAAAGAAAGACTGAAACAATCAGCAGCGATCCACAAAACCCTTCGCCAGCAACAATAATGGAAGTGCATCAAGTTCCCCACATGAATGGTGGTCTTGGAGAAAATAGTTACGCAAAAAATTCCTCCTTTCAAGTATGCATATATATCAGTATATACACCACTTTACACATATAATATTGTTCAAATATTACTTCAATTACTATACATTAAGTGGCATGCACTAATTTTATCAAACAGCATTAATTTATAGCTCCCACAATATGCATGAGCATCCTTAAGATTGCTATGCACTTGGAAACAGAAATATACTTTTGCTTTAATCTCCAGGAAAAAAAAAAGGCTTAATATTTACTTTTTCACTTCTGTTATTGAAAGAGAAAGAAAAGGGCGCATGTCAATTATGTTCATATGCATTTGAAGAGAGTTGTGATCTCAAAAGTGAAGCCAACACTGCAAAAAAGCATCATAGAGGTTTATTGTATGCTCTTCCCGGAGTGTTTGAGAATAGCAGACTTGGGTTGCTCCTCTGGACCCAATACACTCACAGTCGCCTCCAAAATTCTTGACACCATCGATTTGACTTGCCGGTGCTTGAACAAAAAGCCGCCGGTTTTCCAAGTGTTTCTCAACGATCTCCCTGGGAATGATTTCAATACCGTCTTCCAATCACTCCCGAGCTTCTATGAGAAGTTGGAGAAACAAAAGGGGGCCAAGTTTGGTCCATGTTTCATCACCGGGATGCCGGGTAGTTTCTATGGAAGGCTTTTCCCTCCCAATTCTATGCACATCATTCATTCTTCTTACAGTTTGCAATGGCTTTCTCAGGTCTCAACTCTCAACCATACATGGCTGAACTCTAGAAGGGGGATTTTATTCTGCTGTCTTGGCTTCATGTATATCACCAACTTGTTTCTTTGGTCTCTTGTTTCATATTGAAGAGAAAAGTAATACGAATGAGACACGGAATTCCACATGTCCCATGCTACATTCGTCAGTGCCAAGGTAGTGATATTTTTGGCTACTGGACTCTCGCCTCTAGGGTGTAGCAATCCACTGCTTTGCTTAGTAGCACGACATTTGTATTGCTCTCCCACAATCATGTTTTCACGGATTGAACTTCATCGCCATTAGCATTTGGAATGTTGGATTCAAAGGTTCCTTGTTTCCAATAAGAAAGCCTGCAAACTCAAAGTTGTGCCTTTCATCAGCTGAATGATGTTGTTACCGAGGCCTGGTACTATTAGTAGCAAAAGAGTAAGCTTCCATTCTAGCTTCTTCGCCAACTGAGAAAGCATTGTAAAGAGAAGAAGAAATGTCATTGACCTCATTCAAAGCTTGCATTTCAGACACCGTAGGTTGAACCACCAAAATATGGCTTAAGTTTGACCAATCTGTGGTCATGTAATCAGAAAGTTGAATGCATCTCCAGAAACATTCAGAAAAAGTGGTTTCTAATTCTTGCTTTAGTCTCATACAAAAACTATTGTGCTTTATGCTTTTGTAAAATTTCAAGTTATTACGCGATTGGCATGCCACACATGCCTATGTCCGTTTACTTTGAAAGGTTCATCGTTAGTTTTAAGGCTTGAATCAACACTAAATAAAATGTTAAATTCACAGATGAATAATTGCTTTAAAGGTAAGAGAGACGAATAGCACAAAAATCCTAAAAAAAATAATATGAAGTATGTTTTGGTGATCAATTAGTCATCGTTTGGATCCTAAGAAGACTTCAAGAAGTCATTTGACAATTTTCCAGGAAGGTGACGCATACCAAACGAGAGTGACAACAGTTTCTTCTCCAAATATTCGATCTTGGGACCCCCCAAAAAAAAAAGCACCTTCTTATCCAATCTTTGCTTTCTTCTTTCCGATCATCAACCAATAACCAAATCATTACGTACTCATATTTAAAAGACCTTTTTTTCTTTTGGGAAAAGATTTAAAACAAATTTTTTTTAGGGGATTTAAAACACATTTTCAGTGTTCACTTAAGTCAATATTGACCCATCTGTTGACTAGAATATGGGAAAACCCAAAAACTGGTGCGAAAAAGAGGCCGAAGACCAGACTGTATATCAATCACAAACCCATTAAACTTCAGAATTTCTTGAACAATACAATGATCAAAAACAAACCCAGATAATTTATCTTCAAATTCTCTAAAACCCATCTCAGAAATCCTCTCAAAACCCCATTTCAAGACGCTTCCTTAAACCCTCCTAAAACCCCAACCAAAAAAAAACCCCAATTGAACAATGTCCCTCCAAACCCCGTCGGCGAAGACGGTGATCTCCACCGCCGCATCCATGGCTGCCACCGCCGTGCTGGTCCGGTCGATCTTCCGCGACTACGTTCCTCACGAGATCAAAGACTTGGTCCTGTCAAGCCTCACCAGCTTCATGAAATCCTTCTCTTCTCAACTCACTTTGGTGATCGACGAATTCGAAGACGGCTTCAAATCCAACCACCTCTTCAAAGCCGCCAAAATCTATCTCCGACCGACGATCTCTCCCAATACCGCGAGACTCCGAGTCTCACAGCCGAAAAAAGAGAACAACATTTTGATCACCATGGAAAGGAACGAAGAGATCATTGACTTGTTCAACGGGATCGAGCTCAAATGGAAGTTGGTCTCGTCGCCTAAATCCGAGCTCCGCCGCTTCGAATTGAGCTTCCATAAGAAGCACAAAGACTTGGTGTTGAACTCATACTTGTCATATGTGTTGGAAAAGTCCAAGGAAATGAAGGAAGAGATTAAGACTTTGAAGCTTTTGACATTAAACTCTTGTAGAATTTTTAGGCCAAGAATGGGAAGGGACATGTGGGAATCCGTGAATCTTGACCACCCTTCGACGTTTGAGACTTTGGCAATGGATTTGGAGGCGAAGAAAGCGATAATGGAGGATCTTGAGAGGTTTGTGAAGAGGAGAGAGTATTATAGGAAAGTTGGGAGGGCTTGGAAAAGAGGGTACTTGTTGTTCGGGCCTCCGGGGACGGGGAAGTCTAGCTTGGTTGCTGCCATGGCGAATTATTTGAAGTATGATGTGTATGATTTGGAGTTGATGAGTATTAGGAGTGATAGTCAGCTCAAGAGGCTGGTGATTTCTACCGCGAACAGGTCGATTCTTGTTGTTGAGGATGTGGATTGCTCCATTGAACTGCAAAATAGGCGCGCCAAAGCCAGGGCTAATCGGAGTTTCCATCCTAATCAAATGAACCAAGAGGTAACTGACTTGGCTTGTTCTTTCTCCTTAAAATTCGTCTTTGGTTATTTTTTTCAGATCAGCATGTCCCGTGCCCTTTTTTTTTCTGATCAAATGGCTGGGAACTTCCAAGAGTTTTTCTAGGATGTATATGTGGAAATTTAGATCATTAGTGATTAACATTTCTTGGTAGACAAACTAGTTGCTGAATGCGTAGATAATGAAGCTTCTTAGACAAGAAATCTTTATTGTTAACTCTTAAGTTGTGAAAAATTTTGTCAGTTTTTTAGCATATTTTGATTTCCCAATTTTCAGGTGACTTTGTCAGGATTGCTCAACTTCATAGATGGACTGTGGTCGAGCTGTGGGGATGAACGGATCATAGTGCTCACAACCAACCACAAGGACCGTCTGGACCCTGCTTTGCTCCGCCCTGGTCGCATGGACGTGCACGTCCATTTGTCATTCTGCACCCCGTGCGGGTTCAGAATGCTTGCTCACAACTATCTTGGCATCGCCGAGCACCAGCTTTTCGCAGACATAGAGCAGCTGCTAGAGACGACAAAGGTGACTCCCGCGGAAGTAGGAGAGCAGTTGCTGAAGATTGAGGAACCCGAAGCTTCACTTAGAGGCCTAATCGAGTTCCTCAAAAAGAAGAAAGGAAATGAAACTCAAAGCTCGTAGTTCAGCAAAGCAGAGATGGAAAAGTCAAGACCAGAAAGTGGAGAAGAGGTGAAGGGAAAACAAAGCAAAGATTTAAGGAAATATAATGGAATCATATGATTGATTAGAACTTGCGAGTCGACATTGTGCTATTTCCTAACTAAATAATGGTAGTAGCTAGACAACATATTTGAACATAAAATCTGCTGCTTCTGATTTCTTCATCTTTACTTGAAGATTTTGGATTTATTACGACTTGGGATGGCAATATTATCATATAATGAAATACAGGATATAAATTTTTGAATCGTGCATCCCCTTGCCTAACACCGTTTGCTGAGCGGTTTGGAAGAAAGTTGCGGGTTTGATCTCGCCTTGTATCAAAACTCGCCTTGTATCAAAACTAGTTGAGACGTGTGCTATGTACATAAGGAACAATTTATTAAGTTTGATCTCGCATCAAAATACGAAAAGTTAAACAGCAAGAAAACATTCACAAATTAAAAAATAAAAAAATATAAAATTCAAAAAATATAAAAAAAGATTAAAAAAAAAAAGTGAAAGGGAAAAAAAAACAGAGAGAAAAAAGGAAGAAAGAGAGACTGCCACGTAACATCCTTGGAATAGAAAGCATTTGGCTAATCTAATAGTTAATAAATGAATAGATTATTATATATAGATTATAGATTACATATTATAGATTAAAAATTTATAACGAGCAACATAAATTGCTCTTACTTCAGATTAGAGCATCATAAAATTTGTCTAATGACTAAAACATTAGTTCCTACCGGTATAATAAAAGGGTATTTCTTATCATAAATTTTGCCCGGGAAATAATTGCAATGTAAAAGGAATTTTAATAAAAATGAAAAAAAAAAGTACACATTTAAAAAAAAATTATTTTAATAGGAGAAAAGTGAGAAAAAAATATTCCAAGAAAGCACACTGAAAGAATTTTCAAGATAATCATATAGATAAAAGAGGCAAAATAATCGAGTCAAAATAATCATATAGATAAAAGAATTTTCAAAATAATTATATTTATATATAATCATATTCTTCTTCGCTAACCAGTAATCAGCAGCAAATGTTTTCAAGATTGAAAATGAACTAAAGAACACTTCCAATAAAAGAACACAATATTAATAATAATAATAATAATAATAATATAACAAATAATAATAATAATAATAATAATTGGATAGATCTTTCAGATGAGCAGCAAATGTTTACCGCTCAAAAACACATTCGTGAACCAATTCCATTTTCTTGTGACAGAGTAGTACGCCAAAGTATTTTGGTGTGACTAATAACAAGTACTCCATGTCAAAACAAAAGACAGAAAACCAGAAAACACAGCAAACTAAATCACCTCAGAACCACCAAGCCAACTTTGTGGAACTGAAGGATTCTCACTACATTTTGCAAAAGCTTAAAAAGTATATCCACCTAGCTGTTCTTTATTTGTGTCAAATCTATAATAAAACTTCCACTTGCTGTTCCTGAAACATCATCGAAAAAGAAGCCTTGATTTTATGACAATATTTTGTGAAAGGAAAGGAAATAAATATCTCATACATAAAACGTAAAATTATTCGTCGAAGTTGGCAAACATTTCATAAGCAGGCTTTAATATCAAATTTCTCTGCAAAACAGACCAAACATAAGCATATGATGGTAAAGGCATAAGCCAAGTTCAATCAAGATGCAAAAGAATCTTGAAGAAAAGAAAAAGAAGTCAAATATGTGCTTGCCTGAAAACAAAGAGCAAGTGTTGTCTGAACATAGAAACTAGAGTCTCTTCGTTCCCCTTACACTCAAGAACGCTCTATACAGCCATTGTCATTTCTATTTTTGGGTGTGGATCATAACCAATGAGTTTGAAATCTTCGGCCGCAAAAGAATCTATATCCATTTTCTCAGGATTGATCTTCAAAATCTGCATCAGTATCAGGTAAACAGATGTTAAAGAGAATTTCAACTGCGAGTTGAAAGGAATTCAGAATTGAATAGCAATTATTACAACCAATAAAGAAATAGCTTTTTCTAAACAGTGTGTACTTACAGGAAAAGGCTTTGGCAGTCTCTGAAGCTGCTCCTTTAGAGGCCTCACATGATTGCGGTAAACATGAGCATCCCCAAGAACATGGATGAAATCACCTGGAACTAAACCTGTGCAAGATCAAAGGTTATAAAATTAAAGACTGCCTTTACAAGTAATCCACTTCAGTTGCTTTATTCATAAATTTCAACGGCCGCTAGATCTTTAAATACGTCGCCCCACTTGTAAAATAATAGAACGAAGTACTTGCATAATGAAATATAGCATTGCAAAAATGGCTATTCTTTAAATTGTAGAACAGAAAAAGAAAAAAAAAAAAAAAAAAAAAAAAGGGAAGGAGAGACGCCTGTCTAATTTCTCCACTTTTTCCTTCTTTTTTTATTTTTCCCCCTCTCTTGTTTTAACTTATAATAAACAAAGAATTCAAACAAAATAAATGAAGGGAACACAAGAAATTTATACAAATCTCGAGATCAAACAACACAAACATTTTTTGACATTCTATGGTAGATAATATGATCCCATTAAATTCATATGGACGCTTTCTTGGAGAACAGCATACCACAAACATGAGCAATCATGCATGTCAGAAGTGCATACGAAGAAATGTTAAATGGTACGCCCAGGCCCATGTCTGCAGATCGCTGATACATCTGACATGATAACTCCCCATTGGCCACATAGAACTGCAAAACAAGTCAAAGGATGTGCTCATTTCTGAAGAGAAACTAGAGTTAGGAGAAAGAGAGAGAGAGAGAGAGTACTATTTCAACACTAACCTGAGCAAACATGTGGCAAGGTGGGAGTGCCATAAGTTTGAGATCATAAGGGTTCCATGCTGAGAGTATTATACGTCGATCATCTGGATTGTTTTTTATCTTGTTAATAACATCCAACAACTGATCAAACCCTTGGCCAGTGTAGTCAGCATGCATGTTAGTATACCTGTGCAAATATAAGAAGATAGCTTGAAATTCGAACTAGACTCCATCATTTTGAGAAGAAAGTATAAATCAACCTGTTAACTGAAATAAAGCAAAAGCTACCAACCTAGCACCAAAGTGTCTCCACTGAAACCCATAAATCGGCCCCAAGTCACCCTCTTCCCTGTCTTTCAAACCAATGCTGATGGAAGATAAAAATAATAGTTAAAGACTTAAAAGTTCATAAAATGTCATATTATGTCATAACATTGATTGCCTGTATAATACTTACCCATCTAAGTACTCTCTAGATCCATTGCCGTCCCATATACTAATACCTTTATCCTTAAGGACCTGCAGCCATCACATTTCCTCACAGGTAATTTATTTTCCATGATTTAATTTCTATCAAACTAATCAACGGCTAATATAAGTATCGGCTTACCAGGTTTAGCAAAAAATTTAAGAAAAAAATTTAAAAATGCCAAAGGAAATCATTGCCAGAGAAGACGAGAAACATAAGGCAACAAACCTTTAAACCTTTGCAAGAGGTACAACTGAAAGCATTTTATCCTCTAAAGCAGTGCAAAGGACTCATTTGCATGAATACAAGCATTATTGTTTGCATAAGAAAACAAACTTTATTATTACCAAAAACCATCTGGAGAAGATGATCAGGTCGTTTTAATGTCGATTTAATTACCTTAGAACTTGTAGAACCACTTATGAACCACAGAAGTTCTTCAACGATCCCTCGCCAGAATAATCTCTGAGGAACAAAGAATGAGAACAGATGTCAGCCTCTATCTTAAAACGAGTAAAAGATACCTTCATACTTTAAGATATAAAAATTGAGAAGAGAGACATGCAAAGAGTAAACCAAGAGAGAGATGTACGCACAGATGAATTAAAATCAATTGCAAAGTGCAGCAAAACACAAATCTCAAAAGGAAAATATTCATGCCTTAGTCGTAAGAAGCGGGAAAGACTTCCGCAGATTGAACCGCATCTGGACGGATACAGAGGAAAGAGAAATTAGTGTGTTCAATCAGTTTCAGACAAAACGGAAGCATATGAAAGACAAAATAAACTCCGAGTTTTACAATACCTGGCAACCAAATTTTGAAAAAGTACCAGTCCCTGTCCTGTCATCTTTAGAAATCCCATCCGAGATGATATCTTGAACAAGTCTAAGATATACATACTCCTCATGTCTGTCAAAAATCATCTTGGGCAGGAAAAAAAACTTCTTTATCTCAAATTTACTGAAATCCGGCTCACTATCAACTGCCAGATCACCGTTCTCGTTGGGGGATTCAATAGCAGGACTTCTCACACGGACATAAGTAGTGAACGAAAAACGGATATTATTCTCCACTACAGGGAACGACGAATACCAGGGCTGAAATGCAGAAGAATCAATGGCAGGAATGAAAGTGTCACATTCAATGCTGGTCTCAATTTCAGTAATGTGAACTGCATCGCAGCTAGATGCGTTGAGAGCTTCCCTGCAAAGAGCAATAATTCGAATCAAAACGAAAGCAACAAGGAAACTAAAAAGGAATGAAGGAGAAACAAAAAACAGCAACCAGCATCGAAGTCCGACCTAAGAATTTGACCACCCCCAATAACAAACACTCTCTCAATGGACAAACAGTATGGGGAAGCAGCTAACAACTCCAAAGCGGAAGCCATGCTGCCACATATCAACACATTCTCTGCTGTGGCGATATCAAAACTCCCAGAACGGGTCAGAACAACATTAAGGCGGCCAGGCAGAGGCCGGTGCTCAAGAGGAATACTCTCCCATGTTTTCCTACCCATTAAAACAGCATTCTTTTTTCCAGTATCCGAAGTTGTCATGGTGATTTCCTTAAAGAATTTGAGATCAGAAGGCAATCTCCAAGGCAGTTTTCCATCTTTACCAATACCCATATCCCGGGTTGCAGCCGCAACAACTTGATAAGTCCTCTGCGGAATAGTTTGCACATTTCCATTGCCATTTGCAGTTATCACGTTTTCACCAGCCATAGTGGAAACCAAAGGCCCCAAGAAACTTGAAAATGGTAGATTAAATCGAGAACCGTACAGCCAATTTTCGTGGAAGAGCGGTAAAACCTGAACCGTTTACCAGAAAAAAAAAATCAGAAAATAAAAAAAGATATGAACTTGAGAAAACAACAAAGCATTTCTACATTGTCGTCCGACGTGAAAAAGTTCTGACAAAAGATTACATTTAAAGGGCAAACAAAATGGGGGAAAAGGTTCAGAAATGATACGCATTCACGCCTAAAAAGGAATTGATAATAACGAGACACTCGCCAAACTGTGCATTCTCACTAGGCAAGTCTTCAAAATTCATGAAATTTCTATCCAACAGCAAAAACCCATAAATTGTAATTCTTTTCTTCTTAATTTCATTTTCAATTAAAACACAAAATTTTGCATGCAGAATCTGTAACCAAACTAAAGACCCAGAATAAAAAATAAAATAAAAAAGTCACATGCAAACTGAGAAAAAAAAACAAATTTTGCATGCAGAATCTGTAACCAAACTAAAGACCCAGAATAAAAAAAAAATAAACAAAAAATAAACAAGTCACATGCAAACTGAGAAAAATAAAATAAAAAAATCCAAAAACTGACCGTCAAAATTTAACAAATAAAGATAATATTCCAAACAGTTCACACAAACAACCAGAATAGAACAAAATCAAATGAATTTCCATAAAACAAAATAGAATCAAATTGAAAAATGCTGAAGAGTTATTACTGACCGATCTCAACCGAAAAAATATCTGCAGAGGTCGTCGGAAGCCCAGATTTTCGGCAAATGCGAGAGCGAATTAGGGGTTTGACTGCGATAGTGAAAGAGATTACAGCGCTCAAGTCAGAATATAGTGAAAACAAATGGGGGAAATAGTGAAAATGATGAAATTAAAAGAAACTCAAAAATAATATAAAAAACAAATAAATAAATAAATGCAGAAAGTGAAAGTGAAAGTGAGACCTGGGAAATGCGAAACCGAAGAAATTTGGGGAACGGAGAGAGGAAAAGGAAAAGCGATTGTGGAGAAGAAACCGAAGAAGAGAGAGAGAGAGTGGTGGTGTTATGAAACAAAAAATTGTTCAGAATTTCTTTTCCAATATATACAGAAACAAATAGTACGCGTTCGACAAGGGAATCTTTTGCTAAACTGCCTAAACTACCCCTCTTTGTGTCCATATTTACTAACGTGCAACTTCATTTTTTTGGGATTAATTTTAAAAATCTCGGAAACAAAAATGTGTTTCTTGATCTTCAAAACGCTTTGAAATGATGCAACGTTAATGAAAGAGCTCCTTTTACCGCACATTTAACGGAAATTGATATGTGATTTGCTCAAGGTACTAACTGTTTTAGTAATATTTCCCGCTTACATAAAATCTAATTAAAATTTAAATCTTTATTTGAATTTAAAAATCTTGTTACTAAAGTATGTACATTTACCAACTTAATACCAATAAAAATAAGTTAAAATAACGTGAACTTTTTAAAAACCTTTGTCATCTCTCTTATCCTTCCAATTTTTCTTAAAAACCTTTTCTCTTCTAATTGGTTTCAGACCTTGAAAAAAAACAAAACAAAAAAAAAACCTATAGCTTGTAGTGATTATCAGTGTTTGGGGAGATCTCATCAAGAAATTGATGCTAGATTCACGAGGATAGTCGGTGCGTTGAATGTTTTCTCTTGTGCCGAAGGTCGCTACGGGAATCACGCACCCCAAAGGAAGCACGGGACGCTACTTTGGAGGAGGGAGGTTCCCGCAGTGGTGGGGGACGGAGGAAGAACATGAAAAGTTTTTTTATTTGTACTACATATCTAATTGTCTTTTTTTTCTCTTTGCAAGATGGACATAAGATCTTTGGGTATGAGAGTAATTATGCCCCAGTTTGTTTCACTAATTTAGTTCAGTTCAACTCAGTTTGAACAGTTAACACAGTTTGAACTAATGTTTGATAAGCATGCATTTTGAATTATATTTTCCGTTTAAACTGAGTTAAACAGCCCAACTTAGAATTTAGCTTCCCCCTCAAGTTCAACCGTTCAAATCATTTTGGAACAGTAAAAAATACTCACTCTCTATACTTTTCACACCTACCAAATACATATTTAATTTAATTTCGTATTCAAATTAAAACTTTAACTATACATCTAAATGTCAATTTAAACTATATTTTAAACCACACAGTTTGAATTTGTCTGTTCAAATTAAAAAGTTCAAACCATCAAACCAGGGGCTATACCAATTCATGTTTATTATCTTCTTAAACGCTCTAATTTAAGTAAATTTTGAGTAAACTAAACGAAGATGACCTTGCACAATCCATGTGCACTTCATATGTCACTTTCCATTAAAAAAAAAAATTTAACATTGTTAGTAATTATAATGTTTTGCAACATACTTCTAAATTTAAGAGGTTAACAATTAAAGCAAAAAAAGAAGTCACATTGCTAATCAACAACAACTTAGACAAATAAGTCTTTGATTCTTGTCACTAAATTTTTCTTTTTTTATAAATTTTTTTTTCTACTTTTAATGGAAAAAAGAAAAAGAAGAATGAAAGAAAACAGATACTTTTTTACTCTTTTTGGTGGAAAGCAGAAAGAAATTCAATCTGAAACGTGTGAGAAACGCGTATATTGGTGACAAACCATGATAATGAATCAATGATTCCATTCATATTCATTATCTATGACGAAAGAGAGAAAAACAAAGGTTAAAAGCAAAAGCAAGGTTATTTTCGCTATTAAAAGTAGCATCGGAGGGTAATCACGGTATTAAAATAATTATAAACAAATAAAGCGGTACTATCCGTAAAACCAAGCGGGCCCAACGAGAAAAAAAAAAAAAGAGAGAGAGAGAGAACAAACCAAAAAAGCTTCTCATTATGAAATTCCCAAAGCTGTGTGCTAAATAAATAAAGGCGGGAAACGGAAAACAAGCCACTTATAAGATCGATCAGCCAAAAAAAAAAAAAAT